TTTAGTTTAGTTTTTGTCAACTTGCAGTACGATTGTTATACAATTCACTACGTTCAATTACCCACCATAAACTCCGGTCAGTCAAAATGACTATTTTGAACTGTAGGCATTAATCAGCGATTCTGCCGGTGACCAAGGCCACCTGGCAGCGCCACAGGTAGCCGTCCATCACTCTGATTTTTTCTCCGCCTCAGGTGGAGATGAAATCTAGTGAGCTCTGCTGGATCGCCTGCTTCTTTCCCGTCCGGGTTTATAGCTTGGGTTGTTGCCGCTGCACGGCATCTGACATTGTAGCTGGTAGGGTAAGTTTTCCATTTTTACCCTCATGTCATTTTCCCCTTTGTGTGTAGTATTTTTCACAACAAAGAAATTAAAACCCGGCGCCACTACGTAACCAGTTGGTTTTCATGGCGGCACCTTTTACAACCGTAAAACGTTTCCCTCATGCATGTCGTCTTTCATTTACAATGTATTTAGCAATATATAGATGTAATGACAGCACCAGGGCTCGCTGCCGTTTTCTTTCCGGTCTCCTCGTGTTTCGAGTCGACCATGCAGTGGTTATATTCAGAATTTACCAGCATAGAACCCGCATCCGAGATACTTTGTCGTAGCTACATGTGGGGTTTGGGTTTTTTTGCGTGAAAGCGTGTTTTTTTTTCACTGGAGTTCTGAGGCCTGAGATTTTCTTTCAGAGCCATCAAAATCGCTGAGACTGATCGCATCACAGCAAGGTCGCGCGTCCAGTAAACAAATCGGTTAAAGTGAGTTGCGTGTTTTGCATGAGTGGAAAGTCCTCACACTCGGCTACTGGTACTTTATGTACCGGGATGTCGAGTAAGAGGCCCGACGGTGGAGGTACCGATATTTTTCTCGGTCCCCCCTGCTGATCGGAGGGCATCCTCACAGTCTGTTTTTTCAGGCGGTGTTTTACCCGATTTTACCGGCTGCAGCGAGGCTGTGCCCCTGGAGGCTTTCCTCCTATGGGGCCTGTTGCGGGTCTCTTTGTGGACCCTTCCTCGCACGGTGCCGGGTTTGCCTCCGAGTTGAGGGCTT